GATAACGGGTTCTGTACTGTAATAAATTAATTATGTGTGTTGAAACTGATTTTGCTTATAGATGTTTAAATCATTTCGTTTTTTGAAAATAATTCCTAACTTAATTGTTGTTTTACTACAAAGTCGTAAAATCTTTTTCAGCGACAGTACAAGTAGGCAGGTATGCATCTGCATGTATTTTCAGTGTTATTTTGTTTTACTTACCTTTAGAGATTATCTGTCAAAAACTAAGTTTTTGAATTGGTTTAAGAAGTTATGGTGAGTTCGCCTTCCAATGAGGTGAATCGGGTTCGAATCCCAGAGATGGATGGTCGATACGAATTCCACACCCGGCTTGCACAGACCACAGTGCTGACGTAAGATATCCTCAATGTTGGACGGATCATATGTTGGAATTTCCTTGCCGTCAGACAAACCGTGGGAGGTTTTTCTCTCCATGTAACGCAAATGCGGATTAGTTCCTCCAAAAAGTCCTCAATACCCAATACTTGATCCAGGAATTCCTTTGTCTTCTGGATTAGGCTCAAAATTACAAGGCTACGGAGACGAACATTATTCGCCGTAAACCCGAAACAGGTCCGCTGTTCTATGAAGGTTATAAATTAAATTTGATTTAAGAAAATTAAATTTCTCTTAACAAAACTAAAAGTTAATTACTTAAAAATTGGCTATTTATTTAAAAATTTATTTATCTTTTTTTTCGAAAAATTGTTTTAATTTAAGACTTAACATATAAAACCTATTTAACATTCGTAGTTTTTAAAAGTAATATTTAATTTGAATTTATCATTTGTGCCCACTTTTGCTACTTTAGTTCGTTTTCGCGGCACAAAAAAAAAATTGATCAATTATTATATTTGATAAAAAGTACAACATCTATACTTTTTCCATAAAGAATTTTTAGCAAATTTGTTTTAATTTTTAAAAGTTTGTTTTAATTATTAAAATTTACTAATAAAGTTGTTAAATAACTCAATTTATCAGTTATTATAGTTGACGCCTAACAAACAGTATAACACCTATACTTTGGTATGACGGATTTTATACGAGTTTGTTTTAATTTTTAAAAGTTGATTTTAATTATTAAAATCCATTATTAAATTATTCAAATTATATTTGTTTTAATTATTAAAATTCATTATTAAATTATTCAAATTATATTTATTTTAATTATTAAAATTATATTAGGTTTAATTAATAAAATTTATTATTAAAACATTGAAATTATATTTGTTTTAATTATTAAAATTCATTTCTTAAATTATATTCGTTTTAATTATTAAAATTTATTAGCAATCAGATTTATTTATTATTTTTCATTCATTTCACTTGTTTTCATTGTCATTTTTTTGTCGTAAAAATTACAATTATATAGGAACTTGTAGAATTTAATGAAATACTCACTTGGTTCAATGCACACTGTTTCTAGAATATTTAGCATAGAGGAAATTATAAGGAATAGAGGAAATTTATAAAGTCCACCCACGTTAAAAGGACAATTGAAACAGTGTTACTGAGATTTTTTCTATCTATCTAATTTATCGTCTTTTTTTTTTTTTTTTTTTTTTTTTTTTTTTTTTTTTTTTTTTTTTTTTTTTTTNTTTTTTTTTTAGGTAAAGAAAAAAACTATTCGTTTAATATCGTAGAAAACTATTTTTAGCGTTTTCCTGCGTGATTTCTTTTTTAAATAAGGGAATCGTACTAAAATTCGACTTTTAATCGTCTTCTTAGGGTGGACGAACTATACCTAGGGTTTATTTCATAATGCACAATTGCCAGCTTTTCTTTTCGCCAAACTTTTGTTATATTAAGTAGTGACACGAAAAGTAATTAAGCAGAAAGGTGTAGAAGTAATCAGTAATTAAAAGCGTTTCCTTAACAGCTCTTTAAATTTGTAAACACTTAAAAGAAAAAGTGCAAAAACTGTTAAACGGAAATCAATTCACAATAGCTTGTTTTCGGGAAGACTTCTTCCTCTTTCAAGGTACTACAGCCGGTGGCAATCCTCTATCCTTCAGAAAATTGATTCTCTAGTTTCACTTTCGGGATGATTTTTTAAACAGTTATACACCAGATTATTATTTTTTAATCGTTTAAAATGCTGATTAATAGTTTATAATTTAGAACAATAAGAGCTAATTTTACTCCTCCGGAAAATCAGTATAAATTAAATGGTTTTACTACCAGTTTTTTCTCTTTTCCGTCTTACTTTCAGCTGTGTTCCTTATGAGTGAACCTCTCCGGCCTTTTTTAAATTATTTGAGATTAATATAATTTTAAACAAAATTATTTTTCTTATTACTTGTCGAATTGGTGAGACTTACTATTATTCCAATTGATTAATTTTTAGTGTTATCTACAGCAGCTTAGAGTTTTGAAGAAATCGTATTTATGCGATTTCAGACAAAAATAAAACCATAGGAGTATTTCGTGATTTTCCTTTCCTTATAACGCAAATGCTAGTTAGTTCCATTTTACATTTATTTTATAACCGTCGTTGAACAGCCGACCCAATTTTGAGTTTACGACTACTAATGTTCAACCCCGTAGCCTTGTAATTTTGAACTCCATCCTGAAGACAAGGAAACTCCTGGATCAAGTATTGGGGGAAATCTACCTTCATGGAGGACTTTTTGATTAAAATAATCTGCATTTTTGCGTTATATGGACAGGAAGACCACGAGAACTTCCCACGTTCAGCCTGACGGGAAAGAGACTTTTACCGACACCTCCTAGAAAAAGGAAGGTCTCAGCACGGATCAATGTAATAGTCCTATGTAACGAAGATAAACTGCGCAGTAGATGAAAAATAAGAAAGATGTCATTACGTTCGGGGTATTAAGCTGCGCAGTGGTGGAAAATACGAAATATGTCATTACATTTGGACTACTAAAGGATCGACTGTGTGATCGAAAGGATGGTAACCCGTGCTGAGGCCTGCTCTTTACTAGGAGTTGTTGCTCTAACCCATTATCCGTCTACCGCTGAGGATATTTCACGTCAGCACTGTGGTCGGTGCGAGCCGGATGGGGAATTCGTATCGACCAACCATCGCTGGGATTCGAACCCGGTTCACCTCATTGGAAGGCAAACTTTCAATCCCGGGAACCATCGCGGCTCTAGTTAGTTCCATTAAAAAATCCCTTCACGAAGTTCTAATTTAACCCGATGCTTGATCCAGAAATTTTCTTGTCTTCTGGGTTAGGTTCAACAACAAATGCGGGTTAGTTCCATCAAAAAGTCCTCCATAATGGCTAGTTTATCCCAATGCTTGATCCAGAAGTTCCATTGCTTTCTGGATCGGGTACAAAATTACAAGTCTGCGGAGTTGAACATTGATAATCGTACACACATAATTGTGTCGGCTGCTCCACTCGGGTTATAAAATGTACAATTAAATTATACATAAAATTTCTCATAACCTTTAGTCTATATGAGCTGAAACTGTATATTTCTCAGCATATAATGTTCCAACTCTGGTTAAACCTCACGAATTGAAAATTTATCTTTCTATATTTCCCAGCTCAGTGATTAAAATAATATGCATTGCACAGTGGACGAGGCCAAGGGAATTTGTCTTTTCCCCTATGGCAAGCAAGAATATCCCACTGAAGACATGGATGAGGTTTATCCAGGAATATACATTGGGAATTCAGCTTCTGCCGCCAATTTAGCCGAACTCAAAGCCAAGAATGTTAAATATGTTCTAAATTCTGCATTTGGAACAGACAGTTCACTGAAAATGGTGCACGTTCTTTCTGAGAAAGACTATACTCAATCTGGAATAAGTTTTCTTGGAGTTCCGGCTGTAGACCACATGTCTTATTCTATAAGTGAACATTTTAATGAAGCTTTGGTGTTCATAAAAGGAGCCGTAACCACGGAGAGGAGTATTTTGGTGCACTGTGTAGAAGGAATAAGTCGTTCAGCAACTTTAGTGTTGGCTTATTTGGTGAAAGAAGTTGGCA